GGGGGGGGGGGGGGGGGGGGGGGGGGGGGGGGGGGGGGGGGGGGGGGGGGGGGGGGGGGGGGGGGGGGGGGGGGGGGGGGGGGGGGGGGGGGGGGGGGGGCTCAGATTTTTTGAATGATTATTTTTTTAAGTGTAAGGTGTTCAGGTACTACTTTGAGCTTGAATAGAGTCAATTATAAAACCGTGCGAAAGAACAAATGATCAGTATATTGATCACAAATAATATTTTTGATTTGTTTCACTTAATAATCATTGTAAAGCAGTATATTCTAATTAATTACACTTATTTATTTGAGAGCAAGTGGTCGCTCAATAACTTTTTTGAAGGAATGTACAGCTGTAAAACTTAGAGAAAAGTCTTAGAATAATCGTCGTCTTTTTGGCCTAAGTGCATAATTGCTTACAACTTTTTCTCTCTTCTTTTCCATCTCTTCTTCTTGTTAATCTTCTTCTCCTTCTTCTTCCGCATCATTGCCGCTCAATTCTGGGGTTGCCCTCGCGTCATCCATATTGGCTTCTTCTTCTTCTTCTCCTTCTCCTTCCCACTCGTCTGTATTAAGCACAAGCGAGTTATCACACGAGATGCCGTTGCAATGCAAGCAAACGTTTGAACATTTCAGGCCTGTTATTCTACAACCGCACGATTTTCTGCAACCCTTCCTTAACACAGCCACAGAAAATTGTGTCAAAAACTTGTTTTGGTGCAGGCCCTAAAGTGGTTCGTACAGGAGTAAGCTGCGGATCCAATTTCCACCCCCAATTTGAAGGCGAGAGTGAATGAGCCACGTTTGAATTTGAAGGAATGCTCTAAAACAGTGCAATTTCGAGACTACTTTTTTTAGCCGTGACTGCACCTTTTTTAAACCTGATGTAGCGATGTTCGTTCAAACTTTCGATATTTTTATTTGCATGATAAAGTCTGATATATATTAATCGGACGCTGCATATTAATAATATGATAATAAATATGCAGATATATAATGTGCTTGGAATAAGAATGACACAGCCACAACGCGGATCGAGGGTGGAAGTCCGTGCACCTTAGAGTACCTGTATAGCGAGAGTATGGACAGATCGCTTCATGGAGGGCTTAGGGCCCAAAAGTGCAGCCACCCTTCTAACCAACTTCTAACGCACAAAATTTCACTGCCAGTCTGCAGGTTCCAATTCTAACCAAGATGGCCAAGAATGTACATAAATGAGCTTTCTTCCGCAAAATTGAGTAAATTTATGCAAAAACTGAGTCAAACACGTGCTTAATAAACGACGGTTCGTAACAATAGTATTAGTAAATCGTTCTGGATAATTGAAATTCATAGGTTGGCTGCATTTCTGGGCCCTAACTTTATTCGCAGAAGCATCGGTGAAGGCCTGATGGACTTTCGGAGTTTCACATCTGTCCATACTCTCGCTATACAGGTTTTAGTGCACCTGTTAGAGATCAGTTCTCGAACTAATCGCAAATCGCAAAACATAGGAAGGAGCCCCACAGGATGAATTCGATGGGGGGCAACGAGAGGCGAGAGGGGGATTTTTATGAAACCGAAGCCCCTGAACGAGCTACATAAGCCCCCCGAGTTCTAGATAAGAAGGGCTCGTCCAGCGTTGCTAGGTAAAATGTCCCTCCACTCCTCGGGCCATGTATTTCAGCATTCGTCATTTTTCTTTGACCGTATGGGGGACTGTTGTCACAGGTCTAGCAATCCTGCGGACCCCAGCTGGTAGCCCCTGCCTCAAAGGGGGCAGTGGAGATGGCCACCGGCCTCTGGGCGTATGAACCACCTGCTAGAAGGGCAGACAGGGCTCTGAGCTTAAGTGAAAGCAACCTGTCTAGGAGAGGCAACTCCGAAATCAAACCCTGGTCCTCCAGGTTGGGGGTTGAGTCATCGGGCTAACTCCCCGGTACTTGTAAAAGGTTTTACTGTTAAACGACCTAACAATACAAGCCTCGGTACCACTGGAACCAAACGGACACGTCGACAAAAATTAAGAAAACGGACATTGGTATTTGGGACGTGGAATGTCCA